TTTCACAGTACAATACATCGGCGGAGCTGCAGGTGTTGTTTCTGCGCAAAACGAAGAAGAAGATATTAATAGTGAATAAGTCGCTTCCAACAACAACAACAACAACAACAACAAAGAGCACAGCAGTGACGCCGACGATGACCGCTATATTGGCAGCACCGACACCGTCACTATCGTCGATGATGACAACAACAATAACAACAACAACGGTGAACAGGTCGGAGATAATAATAATAATAATAACAAATACAATTATATAATTTTACGGACGGAAAACTCGCGTAGATTAAAGAGATTCAGGGTAATAGGGAGAGAGGCGATATTCGAGATCCGCGAAATTTAGCCTGGTGGTCAAATAGTAGAATAAGTAGAGAGTGCATTTCGCGAAATTCACAGATACGCGACAAATTTATCGGAACCGAATGATTACGACGGAGTGTGGTTTGACTCCTCGACTTTAACCAACGGTGCAGCGGGTCTTTCTTTTCGTCCTGCGCGTGACTTGACTCACGAGAATATTTGGTCTCTCGTGAGTTCGGTTGCGCAAAGTAACAAAGAGATAGACATCGCTGCATCGTTTACGATACGCGTATGCACCGTCCACTCTCCGTCGAGTAGAGGAGGCCGTCCTCTAGGCGCGGAAGGAAACAAGAAACGCTCTCTCATTCTTTCAATAACAAATAGACAACCTGTTTCCCTCGCTCACTCGTTGCCATTCGGATATACCTTAAACAAGGTAACGCCCGCATGGGCGAGCTACATAAGCGATGGAATGCAATGAAACGTTCGAACTCCTTTTTATAACGCCAATGGGCACAAAAGTTGGTGGAGAGGGCGGGCGTCAGACTTCCGGAGGAGGGCTGTGATATTGAGGAAATTAAGCGGTTTCAACTTTACCTTGCCGGCGAGGGGATAGCTACAATTGTTTATGCTTCTACTTTCGCGAAAGGGGAGAAACCGTTGTACAATGATGATGCGTTGCTTGCCTCTCTCGGACGCGAATCCTTGCTACGATTAAATGATCTTATTGCGAGGGTTCGCGTCACTATTGCCCGATTTTAAATTTAAGAGCAGCGACGGGGAGCAGGGGATACTGCATTCCTTGCAACCTGCCTTGTCGTCCCGAAATGAATGAGGAGTTCATCGATGCTCGCATAAATGTCCGCGTTGTCGCGGTGTGCCGTCGTGCGAATCGAAAGAAGTAGAATTAATTCGATGCGAGCGATGTAAAAGAATGTTTTCCGGACGCGAGTGTCTCGAACGTCACCGAGCCGAAAAATCGTACGGGGATGGCCGGGTGATTGTGTGCAGCACCTTGCACTTTTATGACGATTGCGGGCGTTTGTACAGAACAGCAAGTGCGGGGCACGAATGCGGCGTCGTGTTTTGTAATATTTGCAGTTCGCGTCAAGATGTGAACCATCTTTGTTATATTTGACCTCTCGCATGCGAGGATTTCACCGGCACTAGGAAAAACGCGCGCGTCGCATTCGTGTTCTATTTCGAGACCCGACAGAACGAGACGCTCGAAGGTACAGCGTCTGTGAAAATTCACGTGCTCACTCTTTGCGTCGCGCAACAGATTTGCGTCACGTGCGCAAATAAGGACGATATGACGATACGTTGCCGGTGGTGCGGTGTGCGCGAATTCGTGTTCCGCGATAATTCGGTGAGACAATTCGTTGATTTCGTTACGAGAACGACAAAATGTTTCAAGCAGATTATCTGCATCGCGCACAACGCTAAGATGTTCGACGCGCAGTTCATCCTTCGCATCACGGAACGTGTCGATTTGAATCCACAAGTAATATTAAACGGGACGAAAATCATCGTATTAACGGCCGGGTGTACGAAATTTATTGACAGTATCAACTATATGCCGATGCGTTTGTCAGTTTTGCCGAAGGTTTTCGGTTTGCGAGGTGGGGTGGAAAAGAGTTATTTTCCACATTCATTTAACATCCTCGCGAATCAGTCGTACGTCGGACCGTTACCAGCCGTTGAATATTACTCGCCGGATAGTATGTCTAGCGAAAAACGCGAACGTTTTTTGTCGTGGCACGCGGAACAGACGCGCGAAAACACAGTCTTTGACTTTCACCGCGAGATAGTGCGTTATTGTCGTAACAACGTTGATATCGTACGGCGAGCGTGCATGCCTTTCCGCAAGATATTTCTCGAGCGCGGAAACGTATGTCCGTTCGAAGAATGTACGACCATCGCTTTCACATGTATGCAAGATTTCTGCTAAAACTTTTTACGTGAGGAAGAGATCGGCGTCATTCCTCGCGGCAAATATCGCCTCGCGGATACGCAATCCCGAAAATCTCTACAGTGGCTGGTGTAGAAGGAGCGAGCTCGGCCACGCCGTTATTCACGCGGGTCACGGGCGAGAATATTGTCTCGCGAAAGTCGGAGGCATTCCCGTCGACGGATATTACGAGACGGCGAACGGTGAGCGTCACGTGTTGCAATACCACAGCTGCTTTTGGCACGAGTGTCCCGCGTGTTTTAAAACGGAACGCGACAAACGTCTCTGTACGGAAACGCGAAGTGTACGATACGATAAACTCGCGATACGAGCGTACGCTGACAACGTCATGGCGTCTTCGCAAACGGGGCTATATCGTGACGGAGGAATGGGAGTGCGCTTTTGATCGCGATATGCGGGAAAATCGCGAAATGCGAGCGTTTTTAGACCAACATTTGATGCTCGCGGCTGAACCGCTCTCACCGCGTGACGCGTTTTTCGGCGGTCGAACAGGAAACATCGCGATTCGGCGCGAAGTTACGAGTACGGAGAAGATACGTAACGTAAACGTGTGTTCTCTATACCCTTAGTGTTGAAAACCGGCGCTTTCCCGATTGGACATCCGAAAATTCTCGTCGGAGAGAAAAAGTGCGCCTCGCTCATCGGGGCAATGCTCGGTGTCGATTTTTCAGCAGTCCAAGGGGCTTGTGCGTTGTAGAGTGCTCCCTTCGCGCAATCTCTTTCACGCTGTACTCCCGTACCGTGTGCAGAGCAAACTGCTGTTTGCCTTATGCCGCAGATGCTGCGAAAACTTCTCGCAGACTCGGTGCTCGCACGATAATCCGCGCGATCGTGAATTTGAAGGTGTGTGGGTATCGTGCAAAATACGCAAAGCTGTGGAGAAGGGTTATCTCGTGACTGCAGTGAGCGAGATATCGCAATACGAGACAAGCCGATACGACGCTGATACGCGTCAGGGGAGATTATTTGCCAAATACATCAACTGTTTCCTCAAATTGAAGCAAGAGACGAGCGGATGGCCGAGCGTGGACGAACAATCTAAAGAACGATATCTTCGAAAATACGAAGCAGTCGAGGGTATCGCTCTAGATAGAGAAAACATTGCGCAAAATCCGGGTTTACGCTCGGTTGCAAAACTGTGCCTCAATTCGTTTTGAGGAAAATTCGAGCAACAATCGAACCTGACGAGTCATCACTATTGTCAAGCTTCGAGCACGAGATAACCGATATATTACCTGTGAATGACGAGGTAATATATGTTTCGTGGCAAATGCGGAACGAGGCGGTCGTACCTTCTCCGATTACCAACGTGATAATAGCGGCGTACCCGACGGCACAGGCGCGATTGGAACTGTACGAATATTTAGAACGTTTAGGCGAGCGCGTTCTTTATTACAATACAGATTCGTGTATTTATGTGAGCAGTGGAGAACCTGGCGAATACGAACTGCGTACAGAAAATTTTCTGGGCGATATGACGGACGAGCTCGAAGGCTACGGACGTGGTAATTACATCGAGTCGTTTGTATCCGGTGGCCCGAAATTTTACGCGTACGTAGTTCGTATTCCGGACGGTTGCGCGCGGGAGATGTGTAAAATCAAGGGAATAACTCTCAATTCCGCAACCTCTTGCATAAATAATTTCAATAGCGTTAGGGAAATGTTAATGCAAAGAGAGAGAAAAGAAGAAAATGTGTCGATAAATCTGCATTTTAGAGCGATTCGTCGCACCGCGTTTCACGAGGTTGTGACGCGAGACAAATCAAAAACCTGAACGCCGGTTTTGCTGAAGCGTAGATTTATCGACCAACGACGCTCCGTTCCATATGGCTACTTGGAATAAGTTTTTTTTCCGCGCATTCTTTTGTAAATAGTTTGTATATTTCAAACGTATTAGTAATAGTTACAATTGTGTATATACAAGATGTTCCACAACTCACGACTTTAAATTAAATGGCGTATTCCTGAGATCATTTTGAGACGAAACTTCTAACACTATTGTATATTGTCGAGGCTACAATACATTTTGAATTATAAGCGTCTAAAGGTGACCTATCTGTTTTTCGCGCGCTCAGGTATGGCGCATCGTACATGACAGTGTCCTTGTTTTGATATACTTAATATTTTGATAATTATGCAAATTTTTTCAAAAAATGTTTTTTATTAGATTATAGTTACATAAACATAATATTAATACATTAAGTGCGTATGTAAATGTAAACAGTTTCATCAAATTCTTGTAGAATTTTAATCACGTGTTTGACGAGCCGTCAAAGTTATAGTATTGTAGGATCTTTTTGGTTATATGTGGTTTAAATAAATAANTGTTTAGAATATATATATATTTAAAAAAATAATCTATATTATAACAAGAATAACGAGATGGCACCGAACAATAAATTGAATTCTCAGATGAAGCGCACAATACTCCGAGCGTCTTATCTCAGCGGCGTACTCGGATCCTCTGGTGTTTTCTTGCTTTACACATTATACATCGACTCTGTTTTCTATTTCAAATCTGTCGGTTGAGCCGTACACCGGTAATCGGCGAATATTGTAGAGGTGAGAACAGAAAATATTTTTCACCTCTACAGTTGCGCAAATATACAAATTTGTTGTGAGCGAGCACCCGTTAAATCCAAAGATATATGAATAATAAGACTTATGAGAAACATATACGCTTCGAGATAATATAATATAATTTTGCTCCTACACTCGGTCATTCTGATTAATCATCGGCCTCCGATGCGCTAGATTTATCATCCTCGCCATCTGAATCATCGTCGGTTACATAATTAGGTGACGCCCATTTTTTCATATTATCGGCCGACGTGCTAGTAGTGCGCGGCCCTTCATGCTCGCCGATCTTTTCGACAATAAACCGATCGCCTCGCAATACCTTGGCTATCGCATACGGCCCTAAAAATTTACAACAAAATTTTTTATCTGGACCGGTCTGGGTTTGTTTAATGGCTACCCAGTCTCCTAATTGATACACATTTGCTTTCTTTCGTTTACGATCGTAGATCTTTTTATTTTCTCGCTGTATTTTTTCGATCGCCGTTTTCGCTTGTTCGCGCAGAATCGCTCGCTTTTCTTGAAGATCGTTTATCACGTCCTCTTTGATCATTCGTCGCAACTCAAGGTCGTCACGCAAACGCATGGATTGCCCTATTAATATCTCAAATGGACTAAAGCCAGTACTTTTAGTCGGGGTTGCGTTTAAGAATTGCTGCACTCGATCAACATGCTTGAACTGTTCAGGACATGGCACGGAAAGCTTACAGAATAACGGAATTATAATTCGGTTTATCCGTTCGACCTGACCATTGGCTTGCGGAACGCCAACGGTCGTCAGTGTATGTTCTATTTTTTCATTGTCGCAATACGCTTTAAAATTGCTCGAAGTAAACGCAGTGCCATGGTCAGTAACGAGTTTTCGTGGGTTTCCGAAAATAGCTGATATGTATCTAAAGGAGTTTCACTTTTATTTATATTATGTAACCAGCCTCTGATTTTCCATGTTTGCGTTCGGCTAGTATGCAAGATATGCAATTTTTAATGGTTTTTTCGATTTTCTTGCGCATATGGGCAAATCAAAATTCCTTTCTCAATAACCGCTCCATTTTAACTACGGAAAAATGACCTTTGTCGTGAGTTTGTTTAATTAAATCATACTGCATAGTTTTCGGTACTACCAGCAGCAAGTCATCGTTATATTTACGGTAAAGAATATATTTTCGCAACACAAAGTTACTACAGTCATCTCTCTTGCGTCATTTTACTTAATATTATTTTTATTTCGCTATCGTCGAGCTGAGCTTTACTAATGCGAGCTACTAAATTTAAGTGACTTTCTTCAACTAGCATCACGCACGGCGAAGGATGCCTGCTCAACGCGTCGACATGCCGCATTGATCTACCAGCACGATGTTCGACCCTGTAGTCAAATTCCTCGAGCAACAATGCCCACCTCGCCACGCGCACACATAGGTCTCGTTTTTTCATCGTCATTGTGAACGCTTGGCAGTCCGTTACAATTTTAAAGGGAATACCCAGGAGAAACACGCGAAACTTTTTTAAAGACTTGACAATCGCTAAAACCTCCAACTTGTAGCTAAAATATTTCGATTCTGCGTCCGTCGTTTTCCAACTTGCATAATATACCGGATGAAATTTCTGATCGTCGGCGTCTCTTTGAAATAATATCGCTCCGAATCCTAATTTCGACGCGTCAGTGCAGAGTTCGGTATCGGCCTCGTGTCAATATAATTTTAATACCGGATCGCGAGTAAGCATCCATTTCAACTCGTTAAACGCGCATTCGTGTTCTTTGTTAAAACGGAAAATGGCATCCTTCTTCAACAAATTCGTCAACGGTCTTGCTATAAGCGAATATCTCGGAATAAACTTTCTAAAGTAGCTCGTGAGACCGATAAAACTCTGCACATCTTTGACACAGGCGGGTTTCGAAAAACCAGCGACCGCAGCTGTCTTTCTTTCTAACGGCCTGACCGTACCGTTCTCTATTATATGGCCCAGATACTCAATCTTTGTTTCCAAAAACCGGCATTTTTTCCAGTTTATATTCAGGCCATATTCGCTCGCCGTCAATAATACTTCATGCAAATTATCGATACCTGCACTTTCAGTAAGCGACGGAATAATCAGATCATCTATGTACGCCAATACTTTTCCGTTTGCCACGTGCTCCCGGAAAATCGGATTTATGTAACGCTGAAATACGGCAGATGAATTACATAGACCGAACGGGCCTCTAAGAAATTCATACTGACCGTTGGGTACAACAAATGCAGTATATCTGCGGCTTTCCTCGCTTATGGCTACATGGAAAAATCCGTTCTTCAAATCTAATACACGCTGAAGTAAATCGCTCCCTGCAACCGATCTAATTGATCTTCGATTAACGGCAAAGGATAACGGTCTTTTACTCTTTTTTTATTTAGTTTTCTATAATCGACACAAAGTCGCGTACGGCCGTCCTTTTTTTTTGACGAGAACCACCGGACTAGCATATTCCGAGGTACTAGGTCTCATAATATCTCTCCTGAGCCAGTCATCAATATGTTCATCGACGAGACGCTTGTCGCACGGCGCTAATCTTCGCGGTCTGTCACACACCGGATCGTCATCTTTTAAAACTAAACTCAACTTCACCTCTATCTTTTTAATTCCTTGCGGGCAATACTGGCTTACGATTTCTTTGACACTGGATTTAGATCGATCGCTACGTATATTATCTATCGCACGAAATGTGTCATCCTGAGGCTTTGGTCCCTCTATGGTTTCGATATGGAATATTTCCGGAATCTCTTCCGACGGTTCGAGTTCGGCGCGCGGTTTTTTAATCGAGATTTTTCCCTCTCGGATGTTCAATTCTACCTTATTTAGAAAATCCGTACCAATAAGCAACGCATGTTGTATTACGTTAGTTGGCACCACGGAAATAGAGATAGTAAAACATTCATTTTCGACCTCGATCTCAATGTCGAATTTACCTAACGTCTTATAGCTTTCTGAACCGACACCACGAAACACAATTTCTTGCCGCGTCATCTCGGGAAATCCTAATCGCTGATATTTGTCCTCGCGCATTAGCGATAGATCGCTACCCGTGTCACTTAAGGCCCTTATCGTTTTACCTCGAATTTTTATGTTCTTACAATATTTACCGCTGTGACTCGACCTCGAGACATCGCTTACTTCCCTTACAGCGTTTTTTTTTGGGGGGGCACTTCGCAGCAATATGCCCAAACTCCCCGCAACCAAAGCATTTCGCTCCTCTCGACTTCGATGGACAATCTACCGCTAAATGTCCCTGCACACCGCAATTGTGACATCGCTTTACCTGTGACACCTTCTGTCCATCGCTCACGCCAGTTCCTCGCCGCCCCTTCACATCCTGATCCCGGCTGGGCTGACTCTTCGGACGCAAGGTCACTCTCTCGAACGCCTCTAGCAGCGATGACCTAGTTCTAAGCCGCTGGATTAGCGCTTGATCTCTCATCGCGGGCTCCGGTATCCCTTCGATGATGTACTCGACCATCTCCGCCTCCTCGATTCTACTCCGGTTTCCCAGTATCACCTTCTGGTGCAGGTACTCACTGAACGTTTCGTCTCTTCTCCATGCGCGCTGCTCGAACTGCCTTCTAGCCTGAATTTTGCTAGGNTCGTGAAAGAACATAGCTCTCATCTCATTCAGAAGTTCATCCGCAGTCAGTTCTGAATAATCAAGATCCGAATGAAACCACTCCTGTGCTCTGCCCTTAAGACGTGCGCCCATAAGTCTGACCATATCATCGGTCAGCTCATAGGCATTCTTGAGAGATTTAACCCGTCTCTCCCAGGCCTCGTACTTATCGCCACTACCATCAAAATGACTCAACGAGTCAGCGATGATGTTGAAACTCGGTCATCCAACAGATACGTGTGACACCGATGGACTCGCAGCTTCTAACAAAAGGAGGGTACACCTTTGGTATCACCGAATTTGATTAAATTTTGCAGGTACATAGTATCGATGAAGGAGTGTCGAATGCTATCCAGAGACGACGCACTACGCAACCATTTAAGAGAAATCGCAGTTTAAAGTTTTACACGTACTATAAGTAACGTTGGAATAGGGTAACTTTTGAAGTGGCGGTGTAGCTCAGCGGCAAGGCGTCGCGTTACGAGTCTAGAGCTAGAGTGTTCGCTCCTTGATGGTTTTGTGATTTTTTTTTTTT